GGCTGGCGGGTGTTGTGGTGCGGAGGAGGCAGCACGTGTGGTGTTGTGTCTGTCGGGCTGTCAGCCCGGGCGCCGGGAGGGGAGGCGGCGGGCTGCCTGTCAACCGTCGGGCGGTTTGGACAGGAGCTGCCCAACCTGTCAGGCTTCCTGGGCAGCCTGCGAGCCCCAAACCCTCCTTGGAAGCGGCCTCTGTCGCGCTTAGGATTTGAAGGAGCTGGGAATGGGAGATACGTTGCTCTTAACTCCTTCACGTGATTTCATTGTTAATTTAGTCCTTGGGTTCTGTTTCCATTTAATGGGAACGGCGTACTCGTTGGCAAGCTGCAGGGTTGTGCTGTTTCAAGTTTTTAAAGTTTCTTGCTCTTTTAAAAAGAGAGCGCGAAGATGTGTTTGGGGGTGGGGAATGGAGACCGAGAAGGACTGTCGGAAGCAAGTTGTGCTTTCTCTCCAGCGGCTGGTGTACTTTCACAGATAAAAGTTCAAGTCTGCAGGCGCTTTGCTTTCGGAAGACCTGGAGACTGGTGAAAATCTCGGCCGCAAGACAATGAGTAACTGTCATTTATTCTTTTACCTGTAAGCTTAATCAATTAGGACGTTCCTAGTTTCTTAAACTCAGGTTGTAGCTTCTCATTTAGTTCAGCGTTAATGTCTACATAATGAACTTTCGTGGAGTAATAATACTATGATTTCTGTCCTCTTGAGACTCTCACCAAAATGAAGCATAGCTCTCTCAGGGGGCTTCTTTTTAGTCAGATAATTTAAAAATAAATCTTGGCTCAGGTTCGAGTGTTTATTTAAGCCTTTTCTTTCCTATCAGAGTTAATAGTCCTATTCCTTTACTAACATCTATGGTTTTCCTTTGGATTTTAATGTCACTCTTAAGAATAATTGCTCTGGAGCCATTTTTCTAGCATTGTTTATGTTGCAATGTAAATGCTCCTCAGAATAAGAGCAGAGGTCTTATTCTTAAAAACACTTAAGTTAAATTTATTTTTGTAAGCAAAGGAGTTATTTAGGTTGAGAATTCACTATTTTGGTGATTTTTAAAAGACTTTTATCTGCCAGGTTCTTTTGTCTGAAAGAATAATACTGACTTTGATCCTGGAGAGGCAGTTTATTTATATGTGTTTTATTTATTGATGTTTATTTCGGGACAGGAATCTTGAATCTGCATGATATCTCTTTAGACCCACAAACATTTTTTTCTATACTATACATTTCATATGTAGTGTATGCATTTGAACACAGAGATTCTGGGCCTTTTTCATTTCTAGTTTATCTGTAGATTGGTTATGAATATTTTGACAGTTGTTTCTCCCTTCAAGTATATTGAATATGTTTAACTATGTGAGGCTATTGGCATGTAATTCTTAAAATTTGAATGAAATTGGATTATTTAAAATTCCTTAAGTACTTTTCACACTTGACTATTTTCAGTATTACTTTCATTTCCACTTGGAATGTTTAAAGTCATATTGTACTTAAAATATGAAGTTGGTCTGTGTAAATTGTATTTGTTGTTTCTTGAATACATGAAATAGTTAAAATGTTCTCAATGGTTTTCTGTCTAATTGACTGTTTTTGTCCAGTCTGAATGTCTGGAATTTTAAAAGATGAAAGATTCACTCTCTCTTTCATTTCAGAATTCTTTCTACTAGTCCAGATACTTGTTGAAGTGTTGAATAGTTTCTTGGGGAAAGATGTCAGGGAAGAGTTTCAGTTCATAGACTGGTGAGCAGAGATTGTGGAGCACAGAATAACCAGCAGTCTCTGGTTACTTGTAGCCTAAGGTCATTCATAGTACATCTCATTTTGTTTCCTTACTGTATCCTAATTATTCAGCTTTTTCTTTTCTTTTCATTTTTATCTCAGTGGTTTACATACATGATTGTTTTGGAATGTTGATAGAAACATGTTAAAACTCCTACAGGTGCTCAGTAAACACTTGCTTTTGATTGCTTTTAAAGACCAGGATGTTTCAGTTATAGCTTATTCACAAAATGGGCCTTGATAGAAAACTGACTTTGCTTTATTTTTTTTTCAGGCATAAGATGCACATTTTTCTGCTGGGAATGAGATGTTCTTGAGTTTTTACAACTTTATGAAGAGACCCATGTGTGGTGCTATTGAGAAATTTATTGGGAAGTTTGAAGACATTTCAAATAACAGGTTGCTTAGGTTTCTAAAGTAAAGTGGGGAGGTATTCTCTTTTGTGAAAGGAGGAAGGACTTAGGCCAGAAAACTTGTATGCTATGGTTAACTGGTTCCCAGCCTCCGAGAATGTTGTTTTCCATGGTATAAAACTTACTCAGCATCAGGATAAGGGATAACGACTCTATGGATATACGAATCCTTCATCATGGTAAAACTCGCTAACCCGCTGTATACGGAATGGATTTTGGAGGCCATCAAAAAAGTGAAGAAGCAGAAACAGCGTCCTTCAGAAGAAAGGATATGCAATGCAGTGTCTTCATCCCATGGCTTGGATCGTAAAACTGTTTTAGAACAATTGGAGTTGAGTGTTAAAGATGGAACAATTTTAAAAGTTTCAAATAAAGGTCTCAATTCCTATAAAGATCCTGATAACCCTGGGCGAATAGCACTTCCTAAACCTCGAAACCATGGAAAATTGGACAATAAACAAAATGTAGATTGGAATAAACTGATCAAGCGGGCGGTTGATGGCTTGGCAGAGGCCGGTGGCTCAACCTTGAAAAGCATTGAACGTTTTTTGAAAGGTCAGAAGGATGTGTCTGCATTATTTGGAGGCAGTGCTGCCTCTGGTTTTCACCAGCAATTACGATTGGCTATTAAACGTGCCGTTGGCCATGGCAGACTCCTTAAAGATGGACCTCTTTATCGGCTCAACACTAAAGCAACCAGTGTGGATGGGAAAGAGAGTTGTGAGTCTCTTTCCTCTTTACCTCCAGTATCACTCCTTCCACATGAAAAGGATAAGGTGAGAATGGTACATGCGTCATGTTCATAGAGCTGATGATGTAGCATGCTACAAAGTCGCATTTCTAGGAAGTAATATAGAAGTTACACAAGTTTTGTGTTTGGAGACTTGTGAAATGATCAGCTCTAGTTTTTACTGGTGAGTTCTAGGTATGAGAACTCAATGGATGCTAATTGTTCTGATATTTTGAAATGTTTGATGCCTAAGATTCAAAGTGTAGGCTATTGATCTACCTAAAAAAACATGTTTAGTTTAGAATTAAAAAGTAGTATACAACTTTAAAATTGTTGCATAAAAGTTCTTATACCGTGCTGCTGCCAGTTAATAAGCAGCCAAATGCTGGAGACATGAATTTGAAACAAGCAGGTGGCTCTGAGAACCTGTTTTCTTTCCTTTTTCCATTTTTGTTGCAGATTATCATTAGATAAGAATGAAACTGATTCTCCTGATCCATAGTAATAGCTAAGCAAATTTAGCAGTTCTTATTTCTCCTGTTTGTGTTCTAACTTTCTGTTGTATATTATTTCTTTGCACATGATGAGTCCTAAATGTTATTTATGACAGGTGTAACTACATGGCCAGGAATAAAGTATTTTACATGTTTTAGTAAAGTTCTGGGGAGTTGAGAGTTTTGATTCACAGATGATATACCTTCCTGCGCTATGTTTTATGCTGTTATTTTGTGCAGTTGAAAGTATGCCTTCTTAACAGTAAATTTTGGTCCTTAAGTAGAGATTTGGGGATGGGAAGAATTTTGTTAATAGCTGTTTTCTTACATTGACCTAGTGTCCTAGCTGTATATTTCAGTTGCTCTGAATTGTAGTTCTGTGGAAAGTTGTAGTAATTTAAGTTGTTGTACACCTTGTATACAATAGTAAAATAACCTTCATTTTGCTTAAGATCATGGGGTCTGCTTCTAGGATGAGAAGATTGTAAAGTTAACATTGAATACTATAAATATTTGAGATTTCATCTGAATTTACTGCAGTTAATAACTCATCGATAGATTTTTGTTTAAATAATGATGGAAAATTAACAGTATTTTTCTTTGACGTTTTTAGAGATCTGTTTTAGAGTTGAATTTTCTCTGTGAACTCTGAAATAGAAACATTTTCTTACTGTTATTACCCTTAAAGTGATTCTGATAGAGAATCACATTTGTTACATGGCTCTGTATCATTTAAGCATTTATTGCGAGTGTGTTATTGAATATTCAAGGTGGACAGGTGACTAAAAATGCTTTATTCTGTTCAGTGCTGTAAGAACTCTTACCTGGGAGAACTGTTTCTTAATCACATATGGCTGAAGTGAATTGAAGTATAACAGTTGATTCCTACAACTGTTTTTAAATGGTCTTCAGGTTAATAACTGCATGGAAACAGAATACTTTGTAGTTTAGAATAAATTCAGTATCATATCTATGAATTGGGTATTAAGTTCTTCTTCGAACATCTGAGTGCTTGCTTGTATTATAATTTCCCTTGCTTGAGGTAGATATTTTAATTAAAAAAAATTAGCCATATTTTAAAATGGTAGTCAGTTTAGTGCAGTGCAGAGTAGGACAAATCTGAGTCCTATTAGCCTAGGATTTTACTTTTGAAAGGAACCTTGGGAACCATCTAACCCAACAATCGTCATTTTGCAGCTGAGCTGAGATTTATCTAGTAGAGATCTGCTGGTATGCTTTGGTTAGAAATATGTTTTTGGTTACATAACTTTAATATATAGTGTTGTTAATTGAAATAACTAAATTTGGAGTATACATTTGGGAAAATTGAGTTTCATTGAGCAGACTTATGTATGTGTATTGGTCTTATTGGAAAATTAATTTCATGATAATATCTACAAAATTAGAGTTGATAGGATCTGTTTATGTTTTTAAATGTAGCCTTATTTTCAGTAGTGAATTTCCTGAGCGACTTTCCCTGAAGGTATGAAAAGCTCACATTCAAAATCATAATACAATGAACTCTAGGGTGAGGAATTATTCCTCCTCTAAACAGGTAACAGTGTATGTCTTCTTTCATTGTATTTTAACTACTTTCCTTCCTCTTTTTTAAACTAGCCAATGGATCCCTACGTGGAATTGATTGGCTTCCTGTTATGAACCTAGATATTTTCAAAAAAAGTATCCAGAGTGTATTTTTGACAGTGATGGAGAGAGGAAAAGTGTAGGCCAGAAGTAGCTTCACTTTTAGGCATTAATTAATTCAGCAAATAGGTATTGGGTATCTTCTGTGGGCTAGGCACTCTGCTTAAAACTGAAATGGCTTGGAACTAAAATGGTGGTATTTTCTGTGGAATGCAAACATATCTATTGGTCTGGTCAGCCACGGGTTGACAGAAGAAATTTAGGGCCTATATGGAGTGACTTAAGTAAGTTCCTCTTCAATTTTTTCTGTATCAGTTCTAACTTTGTATTTATTTATATTTCTGTCTTAACCTTTGGAAAGAACTATAGACCTGTAGGTTAGATTTTCAGCAGCTCAGTGGTTTTTGCTCTTTTCAATGAGATGAGCTGTGTAGAATATTTTTAAGAGTTTTTGTCAAACACTTGAACTTAAGTATGTTTTCACAGTGATAGATAGTGAGGAGAAACTGTGGGATACTGTGATTTAAAAGTTTAACCATGTTCTAAGAGAAATATCTTGAGCTAGCTTTAGGTTGTAGTAGTTGGTGAATTTATTTACTTAACTTAGTTATATGTTTACTGTATGCCAGGCATTACTTTAAAGCTAACTTTATTAACTCATTTAATCCTCATACAACTCAATGAGGATAGGTACTGTTATTTTACAGATGAAGAAACTGAGGCATAAAAGAAGTTCAGTACCTTATCCAAGTCAGATATTAGGTAACAGAGCTAGGATTTGAACTTGGGCAGTCTGGCTCCAGATTTATTGTAACAGTTATACCTATTGCCCCTTGGGAGTTGTTATATATAATGCCTATCACTGCACTCAAATACATAATTGTGAATGTTCTTCATATTAATAGTACCTTCTCTTAATTGTGAAAGGATACATTCTTCCCTCGCCGATTCACTGTGTCCCTTTTTTCTCTTTCTGTCATAGAATGAATTCTAAAACTGACTTTCAACCAGTGATAAGAATGTATCAGAAACCAAAGATTATGAATAATCTAGTTTTGTATACCTGAGGTACATAAAAAATAGCTTGTCTACGTAACATTTTTATTCTTTTCTTAAAAAATAATTTCTAAGTTTATTTTCATTTCAGTTGTTGCTTAAGTTTTATCATTTGCAGTTTGGGATTAGATGCATGGCTGTAATAGAGTATTTTCATTTGGGACAGAATGTTGCTTTTCCTTAAATTGTGGGATATAAATGAGGGTTATAGTGCGTAACTGGCTTAAATAACAAGTTCCTCGTAAATTTCTTTTCTTTTGAAATATAAATATTACTATAAGATAATTTGCTCATTTACTTCATTTATTTATTATTCACTCAGCAAACATTTAGATGCCTACCATGAACAATGCATTTAGGATTTAGGTCCTATCAGAAGGATTATTTTAGAGAAAATTATCCTAACCATATGTAGTGGACCTTATTTTTTGTGTCATAGTAAGGACATAGTGACATGGATAATGTAGATTTTGTAATGTTACTGAGTTTGCAACGGATTGATCTCAATAATTACAATTTTTATATATTTCTTATATATTTCTCAATTTTATATATTTATATATAAATTACAATTTTTATATATTATTGTTTATATCATTTTTTGGTGACTGAATGTTCTGCACCCTGAGGAAAAGCTTGCTAGAAATAAAAATGTGTTATTAACAAGTCATTGAGATGCAGATTAAATATAAATGTAGTTAGGAATTAATTGACTGTCTCAGTAGACTTGTTCATATTTTTAAAAAAGACAAAAACAGAAATTCAAAAACAACTCTGGCAGTAGTGCAACATATGTTTAGATACAATCAACTGTACAGATATTTTTTGGTCTTCTAATTAGCCTATGAGCTCCATGTGTTTTGGTAATTTTCAGCACATAACATACCCTGAAAGAAAACTTGAGCTACTGAACAACCTTTGGTTTAGTCATTGCTAATCAAAACTACTATACCCAAAACTTCTATGCACATACCTAAACATTTTTCTTAGAGTTTCTAGCACTTTACTCTGTTTTGGGTTAACTTCTCATCAGTGGATGAAATAAAGAGAAGAAATAAGTAAAAACATCATATACTACAAATTGCTTCAGGAATAGAGATCTAGAAGATCTAAGCATCTTCACCTCTTTCTTTGCCCTGCATCAGTAGGTTAAGAGAATGTAAGTAGTTGCATATAGAAACCTATTAATAGCTAACATTTGTTAAAGGCTAACAATATGTTGGGCCCTGTTCTGAGTGCTTTAACATGTACTTTCTTGTTGACGTCTCAAAGGAACTTTACATGGTTAAGTTTTATGGGCATAATATATTTATATAATAGCTCTTTAATAATGCTTAATGATACAAATTTTCATTATTGCTTCTCATAAAACACCAAATGGAAAATGAATGTATGCAAAATACGTTATCTTTTTCTTTATCTTTGCTGCCTGTTTTTTATTTAGTTCATCTTGACACATGGGCCAGCACTGTTTCACATTACATTTACTTTTAATACTGTGAAAGAGAATAGATAACAAGAACTGTTTGATGAATCTGTAAAAAAAAAAAAATCATTCCAGGCCTCTTGAGATTGTAAGAATTTCCTTGACAGGTTTTTTCCCCCTCTCTTTCTATTTAAAATATTGGAGACAGTATATTTTTTACACTGACTTGGTTCTTAGCTTATGTGTAGGAATTATTAAGAGCCTCATTCTGGCCCAGTTGTTTACCAATTGGCTATTCAGTGTCGTGTCAGTTCACAAAGGACCTGTAGCAAATGAATTAGACCAGGAGGGACTTCACTCTTCTGCTTTTCCCAGCTGGAGCAGGATTAGGATTCATTCAGCTGCAGCTGGTTCCCAGGAATATCT